TACCCTTTTTACTACCAAAGATGGATAGTAATGGCTTGTGATCTGTCCATAATATAAATCTTCGTCCGAAAATATATCGATGAAACTTTTTTACTGCAAATATCAACCCTAGCGCCTTCTCAATCTGAGAATGTTTCTGCTCGGTTGAATGTCGGTCGATGCATCTGCTGCCACTTTTATGGGAAGATCCGGATTATAATGCGTGAGCAGTAAGTCGTACTGCAAAATGCTTTTGAACTTCTCGAAAGCTTGTTGACATTGCGATGTCCATACAAAGTTTACATTATCATGAAGTAGTTCGTTCAGAGGTGCCCTCAGACTGCTCATGCTGCGAACGAATTTCCCGTAATAATTTACGCTGCCCAAAAATGCTCGTAGGTCTGAAATGTTTGTAGGTGGTGGCATCTTCAGTATTGCGCTGATTTCATCTGCATCTGGACGTAGTCCACTCTGTGAAACAATACTTCCTAAATATTTAACCTCCGCAACAAAAAATTTACATGTTTCCAACTTTACGTGAAAGTTGTACTCTCTTAGTCTTTGCAAGACCTTGAATAAGTTTTGTAGATGGGAAAACCATGTAGAGCCCCCAACGATTATATCATCTATATATGCTGCAGTAGCATCTATGTTCGCTAACATAGTATCCATTATTTGCTGGAAAGCACCTGGTGCGCTTTTGACCCCTGGTGCAAGTCGGCTAAATGCGAATAAACCCTAATGCGTACTTATAGTTAGCAACTTTGCTGCCTCCGGCGTGACTGCCGTCTGTAAATATGCATCTGCCAAATCTATATGCGAAAAACAATGACTGTTGGCAATTTTAGCATATATATCTTCCGCCGTAGGTAGTGGATGCTGATGTTGTAGTGCTGAATTTAACCCAGATGAGTAGTCACCACAGATTTGTACTCCGCCTGTTACTTTTCTAACAGCTACAATCGGCGCTGCCCAGTCGGAGAATTCTACTGGTGTTATGATTCCAAGGTTCTCCAGTCTATCCAATTCTGCCTCTATTAGAGCTTGTAAAGCGTACGCCATTGGTCGTTTCGCCCGAAAAATCGGTTGTACATTTGGTTTCAAATGTAGCTGAACAACTGCCTTGCTGCATTTGGCCGGAACAGCGCTAAAAACATCTGCATATCTTCGGTTAATGTCCGTTATAGCTGCAGCTT